ACTCTGTTTTTATAACTATTGTCCATGATGTAAGTGTTTCCTTCAAACATGTTTCAGTGCTGTTTGTATATGTGCTTTTCTTCTGCTGCTGTTACAACCAATTCATATATATTTATATAGAGAAATAGCATAGTTTCATTTACCGGGGTGTCAGACTTCTTTTTTTCCTTCTTCTCTACACTTAAGACAAGAAACTAATTTTTAATTTTTCTGCCTTATTACCTAAAACAAAGGAAACCACAAAACTCTTAGCTGGCTCTGAACTTATCATCATTAAGTTTGCATGATGAGAGCCAGCTCACAAGTAACAATTATTCTCACTTGGACAAATTATCAAAGAAAGAGTTGCATAGAGTGCATAAAACCTCAGCACATGACACAGAGAACAACAGCCACCAAAATAACCCAGGAAGGAAGACACAACTCAAGGTGCTGTTCTTCTTTGTTCTCTTTGCACTATAGAATGAACTTGTGCTTCATCTGCATTAGTAAATCATATGTCTAATTACTATGTGCTACTATGATCCACAGGTATGATCACAAATTAATTAATAAATTTATCTACTTTTCAAACCAAAAAACAAAAACAAACGAAAAACATTTTGCTGTTGTTGAACTCTACCTCAAGAGACAACACAGCTTTAATAAATGACATAGTCATAGCTCAATATATATAGAAAATACTTTTATGAAGCAGTTTCTGTATAGAATCAGCAGTAAATTGATTTAATTTTCTATCTTGACCTTTATGGAAATCATTAATCTGGTTTATTGCCCTATTCTTTCGAGGTATTCAGACAGTTTTAAATTGCATACACTGTTTTGTAGACCACTTTTATCAGTTATGCTACAAACATTAAGCATTTCACCTTCAGACTGAGTGCTAAAAATAAATATAGGTTATCAAAAACACATTTTAAGTAACTCATGATTTATTTTTTCAACATCAAATATCAGCTTGGTGAGTGAACTCAGTTTGCCTCAATTAAGTATGAGCATGTTCACCTAAAAGTGTTGGCAATGGCAACATCTGATTCACAGTTACATTGGTCAGTGCACCAAAAACTGAATGGATGATTTTACATATGGACAGTGAACTATACAACTACAAAGCCATGAACGCTTCATACACATGAGTCAGGATGCAAGTAAAGCTGCTGCTGCAAACAAATCAGTGACTTAGTCAACTCCAACTGATTCCTTTGCTACAGCCCTTTTTATTGTCAGCAAGCAATCATTCATGAATATGCAATTTCAAATACACATGACAGTCTTAAGCAGACATATCTGAACAACACCAGTGTCTGTATCCTGTGCGTGTGTGGGTGTGTAGGTGCATGTGTGTATGTGTTTCCGGCCATACTATACATAGACATTCGACCTTTCAATGAACTTAAACTGTGTGTTTGAGGTATGCAGAAAAGCAAACGTAAGCGTCTTGCTAAACTATAAAAACAGGAACTTGCAATAGGTCATATCTCAAATGCACATTTGAAGGTGGGAAGTCTTGCACCTCTAAGAAACAGAACAATCTAGTTCCTAAAGCTATAATGGAAATTATAACGTCGAGGCTGCTTCCTCTCATCTCATGGTGCACAGAATCTAATCAGACCTAATAAGAATGTGATTTTTATCAGCATACAAATGATTACATATTTCTAAGCATAAATTATTATATGTTCCTAAGCACAAATGACAATTTAAAAAAATTCAATTCTAAATGTAACCACAGTGAATGAATTTATCTGGATTAGATTTTTTGCTCCATAAACTGTATTTATCTTAGTTTAAGTTGTTCAGCAAATTCTATTTGACTCCTCCCCTCCTACTGTTCTGCCCAGCAACATTTATATGATTTGTTTATCAATGAGGAAGTTGTCCTGTATCACCGTCAACTTTGATACTAAAGACGAGAGACACAAGGCAGAACACCGCGAAGTACAGACTGAACATGTTCCTTAAAATTATATTTATTTTGTCTACAGCAGCCTGTGTCGAGGCTGAAGGTAGGTATCATTATTTCCCCATTACTGGTTCATCTATAACTTTCATCATGTAAAATTTATTTATGGTTTATTTGTTTGTAATTTAGAGTATTTTAACACTGTGTTTTTAACTGTGTTGTCACTTGATCCTAGGAAGTCATACACTTTGTCACATCTATGGATGTTTTGACTCTAGTGATACTCAAATCTGTGCAGCATTTGATGGTGATGAAATATACTATGCAGACTTTAAAAAAGATCTTCTGATTTGGGAGAGCAAAATTCCCACAAGTTTTCGTTCACCCGACGCTTACAAATATGCAGTATTATATCGAAGCATGTGCAAAAATGACATGTACAGATGGAAGCCAGACAAGTCTGTAATAAAGAAAAAAGGTCAGTGAAACTCAAACTGTTATGTTTCCTGTTCAGTTTTCACTGTTTATGCTGCAAGTTTTTTTAGATCTTTTTTTTAAACGAGAAAGTTGAATTTAAGCAAATCATGTGTTCATTTAATTTAGAGCCACCAGAATTCATCATCTACCCCAGAGATGAAGTGATAACAGGGGAAGATAATACCCTCATCTGCTTCATCAACCACTTTTTTCCTCCTTTGATCAACATTAAGTGGACCAAGAATGATGTAGAAGTAACAATGGAGGACCCTTTCATCAAAACTTTGTCCAATCCTGATGGGACTGCTTATGTTTTGTCCTACCTCAACTTTGTGCCAGAGAAAGGAGACATCTACAGTTGCACTGTGGAACATGAAGCAATGGACGAGCCTCAGACCAAGTTTTGGAGTGAGAACAAAGAAGCTTCAGATATTTTAGCACATATAATACGATTTAATGTTTAGAATTAATCATTTCTTTCTGCTGTTCTCTAGAGATGGTTGAAACAGAGGAGATCAGCAATGGTCCAGCTGTCTTCTGTGGATTTGGCCTGAGTCTTGGATTTCTTGGAGTTTTCTTAGGAACCTGCTTTTTTGTTAAAGCAGTGCGCTCTGGTCGCACTGCTTGAGATGTATACTACATATTGTATAGAGCTGCATAATCCTTAGTTTGTTTCCAGCAGGCATATCTTTCATCTGTGGTTACTGACAAACATGAACTGTCTCGTATTTGCATCACCTGTGTAATGGCATTAACGGCTCATATGCTGTTAAAAATAAAACCATCGTTCTTTGGCTGATATGTCAGTGTTTCTATAATAAACCTTTCGCTTTCATACTGTGCAATAAAGCTGAACGGTGATATCAGCACTTTTCCCACAGACATTTTCAGACGTGACGCGCTGCTGCACATTTTTGGTTCGTAGCATTAGTGCAGAGCTTGAAGTCTGCATTACTGGTATTCTAGCATTGAAATATGCCTTATTAATAATCCATCACTCTAAAATCACATTAGGTGCATTATGTCAAGTAGAATGAAACTTGAAAAAAACTATGCTGTTTTTCTTTCAACTGAAATAAAGTAAAAACCAGACAAGAAAAAAAGAATGTATCCATAAACGTATTAAACACATTGTTGCTGAGACATCTACCTGATTGTTAGTCATTACACTTCATAAGTATTATTACTTACTCCACTATTATTAACAAGGATGTGAAAACTAAGTTCAAAAAAATATGTAAATAAATCGATACAAGTGAATACATTCTGGAAAATTACTAGAAATGAAAAATAGTTTGTAAGAAGTTTGTAGTTAGTTGCAGAGATTATTTGGGTGCCTTATTTTCGCAGCAGAATATGAGGTTTTGTGATACAGTTCACTTTACTGAAAAGAAAACTTCAGTAATGTTTTTCACAAGAGCTGTAAGAAAAGTGAAAGCATATCGTATTCTGCAGGCTGAATTCTGTAATCTATTTTAACCTCTAAACATTCATTTGCTGCTAGAGTCAGGTTAATATCGGTCTCTTTATATGAATTTTTCATCTATTTAGCATCTATTTAGAAAATCTAACAGAACAACAATGAGGTGAAATTTTAGCCAAAGGTCCAGAACAGCAGAAGAATGAAAGCCAGAAAACATTAGGCTGTAACATGAAGTAAAACTTGGTGAGGAAATTAACCAACTTGTCAAATCTTTATGATTTATGCAGATTTGATCTACAGTTTAAAACATTCTTCTTTATAGTCTCAACACAAAATGCTCCCACGTCTCTCTACTGTTTCTGATAGTCAAACAACAGTTTGATTGTCCACATAAGTCACTTCACCTAGTATTAGTGCACAAACAAGTGCTAGCTGAACAAAAGAACAAAGTTGTAATCATTATCATTTATTGTCATAAATGTAATGGATAGAGGGAGTTTCCACTAAATGTTTCGCTGTTATATCAGCCTATCTGCTTTCATTTCCTTGTTTTGGTGAACATATAAATGCTGCAGATTAAGTCTTCTTCCTGAATCATCGTACAACACACGCGAAACATGAACACTCATAAGTTTGTCCTGTGTGTGGCTTTCTCTCTTTTAAGTCCAGGTGAGCTGCAAAAATCTTCTCTTTGAACAAATCAGTGAAATATTAAAGTAATTATTATTTTTAACATCAGAACATTTCTTTCTTTTTATTTCAGTTCTCACAGATGAAGACTTTTACCAAGTAAGAGCATGCTGTACATTCAAAGGGTCACACTTTGAAGAAACCGAGTACATATTAACTAGTTTTTTTAATAAGAACTTGATGATGGAGTACAACAGCACAAGAGGCAACTGGATGGGATTCACAGCGTATTCAATTGAAGCAGCAAAATGGTGGAACAGGGATCTCTTTGATGCATTAACAAGAAAGATCGAAAGGAAACTGTTGTGTACGGACATGTTAGATGCCATCCAATCCGTAGGTAAGAGATTTGTTTCTTAATAATGTTTTAAATCAAATGTTAAATAGGGTTTTGATGCTGTGAACCTTTTACATCAAATATTTTTATGATCATTTTTGATGACATAAGATTATTATATTTGTTTTACTGTAAGTAACAATAGTGCTTTATGAGTTTTGCTCAGTTGATTTCCAAGTAAATGGTAAATGGTCTGCATTTGTATAGCGCTTTACTCAGTCCCTAAGGACCCCAAAGCGCTTTACACTACATTCAGTCATTCACCTATTCACACACTGGCAAGCTACATTGTAGCCACAGCTGCACTGGGGCGCACTGACAGAGGTGAGGCTGCCGGACACTGGCGCCACCGGGCCCTCTGACCACCACCAGTAGGCAGACATGGGGTTAGTATCTTGCCCAAGGATATTTGGCATGCAGCCAGGAGGCAGCCCTGGATCGAACCACCGACCATCTGATTAGTGGCTGACCTGCTCTGCCACCTGAGCTACAGCCACCCCAAGTATGCCATAATTGACAACATAGCCACGATACATTACATTATGTACATTTGAGAAATACATCTGTGAACAGAGAAGGTGCAGTAATGTATTTTTCTTAATCAGAAGCATGAAACTTATTTTTTCACAGATAATCTGACAACTATACCCACCGTCAAACTAAAATCCTTGAAAAGGCCTAATGGCGAGCACACATCTACGCTTGTGTGCAGTGCCTACAACTTTTATCCAAAACAAATCAGAATGAGGTGGATGAGGAACGGCAAGGAGGTGACCACAGATGTCAATTACTCTGACGTGATGCCTAATGGTGACTGGTGCTACCAGACTCATTCTCACCTGAAGTACATCCCAACTTCAGCAGAAAAAATTGCCTGCATGGTCGAACACCTTGGTCTCTCCGAGCCGATGTTTGTGGTCTGGGGTAAGTTTGCTGCTGTGATGCCAATTAAAGTCAGAGAGATAAAACTTAAGCTGCATAATTACGAGTTTCACTTTTATCTCACTGTTTCAGACCCCTCCCTCCCAGTGGAACAACAAACTCAGATAGCTGTTGGACTGTGTGGACTGGTGATTGGATTTGTTATTGCAATATCTGGAATCATCTACTACATCACTGTGCGTCAAAGTAAGGAGTTTGTTAGAAGTGTACATAATATAACATATTCTGATCTAAAACTGAAAGTCTTGGTGTGCCCAGCACTCAGTAACTTTATTGACTTCGTCCCTTTTCTGTTTTCAAGAGAATCCTAAAAAAAACAAAACTATTCCTATTCTTACTACAGCACATATCATTATTAAGTAGATCTGTTGCCTCATCATCATCATCATTTTTTTGTATGCTGCTATTGCTGTGTTCATAAATTGGGCCTTTTCTGTGGTTGCAACAACATTAAGTTTTGCTTGCATACACTGTAAAAAAATCCTAATATAAAAGTATTTTACTGTGTATTTTACAGTTTTGTTCTGTTCTTCTAGAATATCATTACATTTACATAAATAGACTGTGATTTCCCATGTAAATCCCATGTAAAATTAGGGCAACAAACTGTATTGTCATTACTGAAAATAACCGTATTTTTATGAGAAAGTTATTTTCTATTTTTTTATGGTATTATTTTGGCGCCCCAGCTGCTGGAATATTACTGTTTTTTCAGGATTTTTTTTTTTACAGTGTAGTAAATCTGACCAATAGAGTTGTTAAAATGATAAATATGTTCTTGTTTTTAACAGGACAAGTGTTCATTCCTGTGGAATCGCCTCCTGAAGCTGGAGCAACTTAACAGCCTGAGCAAACACTATTAATACGGGCACGCTCCATCCAAGGTGCCCCAAATATCACAGCTCTCTGAATAATGATGTCTGTTGTGGGTGTTTGGGGCTTTGCATCTTTTACCCTACAGGACAGAGGATACATTTGTAATGTAGTTAATACTCTTATACAGTATAGTAATATATTTTATAGAAAAATGATTACACTGTATCTACTGGCATTAACCCCCATTAAGCAGTAAACCCTGTGAGTTAACCAGTGGTGAAAGTGGAAAAGTAGAAAAACCCTGGCACAATATGATGGTTCAAAAGCTACCCACAGTGTGCACACCCACATGGTACCTTCCTAGCAATTAAGTAAGAGACTGATTATTTCAAACTATATAGAACCAACTAACATTTTGTTTATTAATCTGAATACCCTTAAAATTTTATGATTTATTTGAATATACAGTGGCTCAGATCATGTATAAAGCACAAAATAACTTGCTTTGCGTCAGCACTCAGAAGCTGTTTAAAGTCAGAGAGAGTCAATATGACTCAAGGGGAACATGTTTCTTTAAAAAAAAAAATAAGATAAGGACAAACATAAAGCAGAGATGTGTTTCTGTCAGAGGAGTTAACTTGTGGAATAGTTATGACAGTGATTTAAAAAAGGTGTAGTTCATTTTCCTTGTTTAAAAACATGTTTAAAAATAGAGTATTAGAAAAATATATAAATCAAGAATGAAAAGAGCAATAATAATAAATACTGAAACTCTTGGTTGTTTTGCTTTGATGTAGTTACTTATCTAAGGTGGAACATTTTTTTGTTTGGTTTTTTGTATGTTTTTTTTTTTGTTGCTTTGCTTTGTTTTTTTCTTTGCTTCGAGCCCTGTGTACAGGAGCCGCATGCTAAAAGATCTTTTGTTAAAAGGGTTGGCGTAATAAGCATATGCTTCAGACAATACCTTTTGATTAGCCTTGTCTTGTGCTTTCTTGCTTTGCGGTAATTTTTATTGTGTATTCACTGAGATATTTGAATGCTAATCAAAAAAAATCTCACCATCGAGGCATCAAATAAAGATCTACCACAGGACCGACCGGTGGGGATACTTGCTGCTGTACCAACAAGGAAGGCTAATACATGAGAAGATGCAGTACCCAGATGGTAATACAAAGAAGCAACATTCAGCATATGGAAGTTTAAACAGCTGGAAAAAGAGTTGAAGCCGACCTGATAATAAATCCACAACGTCCACGGATCACTCTATAGACAGACAGAGAGATACTTTATTGATCCCACAACAGAAATTAATGTGTTACAGCAGGAGGATCAAAAGAATAAAGAATTAAAATTTTATATAAATACAACAATGATTGAAACAAAAAATCCCCAAAGAAAATAAAAATTAGGTTAAGTTAAAGGAAACGTAAAAGCACGACTGTGAGCAATTTCAGAACAAACAAGAAGCACTCAGAGTGCAAACCTCTGCCATAGCCTTCAATCTGTATCAGTATTTACTTTTAAGGGAATAGTGTCACCTAAGTGGTGAACAGTAAGAGGATAAACAAGTTTTAGTAAAAACAAAGGTAGCATTGTGTAAAACAGGAACTGATCTGTTTAAAAGATGTTCAGCAGCACTAAGAAATAAACCAGGTTGAAAACCCACAGGCGCTCATTTAAACACACCTGTTCTTTGATGGAATGTTATCGCTTTCTGCCAATCACTCTGTGGCCAAGTACCTTATTAAGGCACTTAATTTCAGCCTTACACCATTTGGCAAATAGTGATGGGATTTCCAGCTCTTTTTGGAGAACCGGCTCTTTTGGTTCGGCTCACTAAAAAGAGCCGGCTCTTTCGGCTCC